AATATATTTTTTTATCGTTTCAGTTTAATTATCACGTTGAATAAACAATTTAATTAAAGCCGTTCCCAGATAGGATCTTCCATTACGCTGGTTCAAATTGAGTTTGGCAGTTTTATTACCAATCAGAAATGGTTTATGTGAGACTGGTGTGTGTGTGTGTGTGTGTGTGTGTGTGTGTGTGTGTGTGTGTGTGTGTGTGTGTGTGTGTGTGTACTCACCTATTTGTACTCACCTATTTGTGCTTGCGGGGGTTGAGCTTTGGCTCTTTGGTCCCGCCTCTCAACTGGTGTACAGATTCCTGAGCCTACTGGGCTCTATCATATCTACATTTAAAACTGTGTATGGAGTCAGCCTCCACCACATCACTGCCTAGTGCATTCCTTCCGTTAACTACTCTGACACTGAAAAAGTTCCTTCTAACGTCTCTGTGGCTCATGTGGGTACTCAGTTTCCACCTGTGTCCCCTTGTTCGCGTCCCACCAGTGTTGAATAGTTTATCCTTGTTTACCCGGTCGATTCCTCTGAGGATTTTGTAGGTTGTGATCATGTCTCCCCTTACTCTTCTGTCTTCCAGTGTCGTAAGGTGCATTTCCCGCAGCCTTTCCTCGTAACTCATGCCTCTTAGTTCTGGGACTAGTCTAGTGGCATACCTTTGGACTTTTTCCAGCTTCGTCTTGTGCTTGACAAGGTACGGGCTCCATGCTGGGGCCGCATACTCCAGGATTGGTCTTACATATGTGGTGTACAAGATTCTGAATGATTCCTTACACAGGTTCCTGAACGCTGTTCTGATGTTAGCCAGCCTCGCATATGCCGCAGACGTTATTCTTTTTATGAGGGCTTCAGGAGACAGGTTTGGTGTGATATCAACTCCTAGATCTTTCTCTCTGTTCGTTTCATTAAGTACTTCATCTCCTTTTCTGTATCCTGTGTTTGGCCTCCTATTTCCACCACCTAGTTTCATTACTTTGCATTTACTCGGGTTGAACTTCAACAGCCATTTGTTGGACCATTCACTCAGTCTGTCTAGGTCATCTTGTAGCCTCCTACTATCGTCCTCAGTTTCAATCCTCCTCATAATTTTTGCATCATCGGCAAACATTGAGAGAAACGATTCTATACCCTCTGGAAGATCATTTACATATATCAGAAACAGTATAGGTCCAAGGACTGACCCCTGCGGTACTCCACTCGTAACGTCTCGCCAATCTGAGACCTCACCCCTCACACTGACTCGTTGTCTCCTGTTACTTAGGTACTCCTGTATCCAACGGAGTACCTTCCCTTTCACTCCAGCCTGCATCTCCAGTTTTTTCACTAGCCTCTTGTGTGGCACTGTGTCAAAGGCTTTCTGACAATCCAAAAATATGCAGTCTGCTCACCCTTCTCTTTCTTGCCTTATTTTTGTTGCCAGGTCGTAGAATTCAAGTAACCCTGTGAGGCAGGACCTGCCATCCCTGAATCCATGTTGATGCTGTGTTACAAAGTTCTTTCGCTCCAGGTGCTCCACTAGCTTTCTTCGCGCAATCTTCTCCATCATCTTGCATGGTATGCAGGTTAGGGACACTGGTCTGTAATTCAGTGCCTCCTGTCTATCCCCTTTCTTGTATATCGGGACTACGTTGTGTGTGTGTGTGTGTGTGTGTGTGTGTGTGTGTGTGTGTGTGTGGTATGTATGGGGGATGTTTGAGCATTTGTTTGGGTGCGTCCGTACCTGTGTGTGTGTGTGTGTGTGTACTTACCTATTTGTACTCATCTATTTGTGACTGCAGGATCGAGTGTGGGCTCTTGGATCCCGCCTTTCTTACATTCGGTTGTTTACAAAAATGTCTCCTGTCCTACTTCTCTATTAAAACACTCTTCATAGTTAAAGCTATGAATAGTGTTTGCTTCCACAATGTGCTCCTTTAGTAAATTCCATTTCCTCACTACTCTCACAGTAAAAGAAAACTTTCTAACATCTCTATGACTCATTTGAGTTTCCAGCTTCCACCCATGTCCCATCGTTCTGTTGGTATTCCGTGCGAATATTTTGTCTATTTCCACTACGTTAATCCTCCTAAGTATTTTGTATGCTGCTATCATATCTCCCCGCTCCCTCCTTTTTTCTAACGACGTCAAGTTCAGTTCCTTCAGTCGCTCTTCATATCCCATCCCATGCAACTCCGGGATTAGCCTCGTCGCAAATTGCTTAACCTTTTCCAGTTTCCTAATGTATTTCTTCAGGTGGGGGCTCCATGATGGGGCTGCATACTCTAAAACTGGTCTCACGTAGGCAATGTAAAGTGCTCTGAATGCCTGAATGAACTTAGGTTTCTGAATGATGTGTGTGTATATATACTCAGCTATTTGTGCTTGCGGGGGTTGAGCTCTGGCTCTTTGGTCCCGCCTCTCAATAGTCAATCAACTGGTGTACAGATTCCTGAGCCTACTGGGCTCTATCATATCTATATTTGAAACTGTGTATGGAGTCAGCCTCCACCACATCACTGCCTAGTGCATTCTATTTGTCAACCACTCTGACACTAAAAAGTTCTTTCTAATATCTCATTTGTTTATATGCCTGTTTGAAGCTGTGACTTGAGACGTGCTTCAGTCATCATCAGCCCTGTAGTGTAAACACAACCAAAATCATCAACACCTTAACCTTTCCTAGGTCAAACAATACACAATTTCCAGTGTATATTAAACCCGGCCACAGCCGGCCACACCCTCGAGTATATGATAAATTTAGATTTGAGAAAAGTCTGTCTATTACACTGACGTACTGAGGTTGTCGATAGTCAGTATGTGTACTTTTGACTTAGGGTGGAGGATGGTTAAGTCCTGATGCAGGTGTGTTAAGATAATGAACACATTGAATGAAGGTATTTAGCGGTATACAAGGTTTTAACGTGTGTATTTTGTTTAGGACATCTGAAGAGGTAAAGTCAGATAATTTAGAGGAGAAAGCACTTACTCACTATGACTATTTTGTACTTGGAAAGGATATGAGGACAAGGAGCTGGGATAGGATTTTTTTTCAGGGATATTCCTGCGCGGGCCCTAAGCCTCTGGCTGGCCCACTAAGTGTTGCTTGTTTCTGTTTTACTTGGGCGGAGTATGAGTATTTATGACCCGTATGGTCGCTTCAGTAAGATTTTGCCATATGTGTTTAACAACTTCTTTTGTTCTGTTGAATCTAAGTTGAAATCTTAATGGGTTTGTAACTGTGAACTGTGTTAGATAATGTTCCAGTGGTCTGTCGGGCTGGGATATGATGACAAGGGATTGGGATATGAGGACAAGGGGCTGGGATATGAGGACAAGGGGCTGGGATGAGGGCAAGGGGCTGGGATATGAGGACAAGGGATTGGGATATGAGGACAAAGGGCTGGGATATGAGGACAAGGACCTGGGATATGAGGAGAAGGACCTAGGATAGGACAAGGACCTGGGATATGAGGACAAGGACCTGGGATATAAGGACAAGGGGCTGGGAGGCTGGGATATGAGGACAAGGGGCTGGGATGTGAGGATAAGGGGGGGTTGGAATATGAGGACAAGGGGCTGGGATATTAGGACAAGGAGCTATGATGACAAGGAGCTATAAGGTCAAGAGGCTGGGATCATTTGAGCCAGATATTTTATTAATTTCACAGATGAATTAAAGCGCTCTTCTGCAATGATGTTGCTCGACATATTTACTGAGCACCTTTTAGTGTTAAAATCAAGAATTATGAGATGTAATCACTTAAGATTCTGTATACTAGCACATCCTAACACATATAATACATCCTAATTAACCTGTAGCATACCCCAAACACCTATAGCACACCCCAAACACATAGTATAGGATGGATTACGAGAACTTTCAAATCTAGGGATCCCATCACAATGGTTGTACTCTTCAAGTCACTTGTGTTGTCCCGTCTCGAGTACTGCTTAGTACTCACTTTCCCTTTCAGAGCAGGAGAGATTGCTGAAATAGAGGAAATGCGGAGAACATATACGGCACGCATAGACGCGATAAAGCACCTAAATTATTGGGATCGTCTCAAAGCTCTCCAAATGTACTCACTAGACAGGAGACGAGAGAGATACCAAATAATATACACATGGAAAATACTGGAGGGCCAGGTTCCTAATCTACACAGTAAAATAACAACGTAATGGAGTGAATGATATGGAAGAATATGCAGAATAGAACCAGAGACGAGCAGAGGTGACATAGGCACAATCAGAGAACACTATATAAACATCAGAGGTCCGCGGTTGTTCAACGTCCTCCCAGCGACTATAAGAAATATTGCCGGCCCGGGGCTTGGGGAGTAGAAGATCTCCAGAACCCCATCAAGCAGGTAGCACACTCAAACTGCTAGAGCACACCCCCAACACCTGTAGAATACCTATAACACTTGTAGCACACTGGCTGAGAACGAATCATAACATTCCAGTTTCAGTGTAGTAATCAGCTATGATATTATGCTCAGATCTCAGCGTAGATACTTCAGATATATACAGACATTTCTCATCAGCACATACAACTACAGGTGTATGCAGCCTTTTATTATCAGCGTATACAACTTAGATACATCGTAGATACATACATTTCTATGTAATGATCTGCGTCAATATAACTTCAGAACTTCAGTTAGATACTGAAACTAGTCATCATACATCATCAGGTTGGTACTGAAACGTCATTATTTTGGAGGTTGCCATTAGCAACATTGTATCAAACTGTATTCAAGCTTATTTTTATTAATTATTCAAGTTATAAATTAAAATTATACATATTACATAATTAAGTAGCAATATACGCCTAGGAGGGAAATCAAAATTGAAAATTTAGTTAATTACAAAATGCAAATAATTACAAAAGGTTTAGGTTACAGAATGCACTGCTAAACATTGGATAGGGTTACAAAATGCACTGCTGCGGATACGTTAGGTTAGGGTTGGAGTAATACCCATGCTTGACATGGGTATTACTGCAGGGAGGGCAGGCTTTATGATGCTTATTGGTATGAGGGTTGGGGCTGGTATGAGGGCTGGGGCTGGTATGAGGGTTGGGGCTGGTATGAGGGCTGGGGCTGGTACGAGGGTTGGGGCTGGTATGAGGGCTGGGGCTGGTATGAGGGCTGGGGCTTGAAAGTGACAGCTGGACCGTACTGGTGTGGGTACTGGGCCTCGCCCTTGTAGCTCACCTGGGCCTGGTACCCGTTGTTGTGGTCAGCCACGTAGCTCACCTGGGGGGAGCAAACATCTCAGATTAGACGTGTCTGCGCATTTCTCATAAAACATGTGATTTTCATGTACTTTGGAGTACTTATTAGGGTCTCGAACGTAAGATAATGGAACCTTTGTTTACCGTCTGGATGCGGCCGTCGGGCAAGGCAACATTGTAGGAGCCCTTGACGGTGTGGCCGTCGGAGTCCTCGTTGTGGCCGAAGTCAGTGCCGGCGTAGTCGTCCTTGACGCCGTAGGCGAAGTTGTACGGTATAGGCACCTGGAAATGAGAGATTTAAATAGGAGAAACATACGGTAGCTTAAATAACCACCGTCCCAGTAAAGACATTAGTGGAAAACAACGTTCGTTTATCGTCTGTTACAAACGTTCAAATAACGCTGTTAGTTACTGTGTTTCAGAGATATATGTATCATACAAGGACATATGTACTTTATAATTAATCACACAGTGAGGAATGGCTAACTAACCGGTTTGTAGGTGGGTTGGTTGTAAGGGTCTGATGGGAGAGCCAGAGATGCTCCGACCACCACAGTCAACACGATCACAATCTGCTGAGAAAGATATTATGACTGAGTCATTGTTCGAGACATCAACAATATTATTTATGTTGACATTTGGTTTCTCTTTTTGCTGGCTAAATGTAGCTTGTGTTCGGGTGACTTGTCCGTAGCTATAGACTTGAAACTGTATCACTCAGATTATTATACCGAACAATATGAATTACAATATATTATAATGAATAATATCACATAGAAAAGATAATTATACTGAACGAAATCGCATAGGATAGATAATTATACTAAACGATCTCACATAGAATAGATAATTATACCGAACGATATCACATAAAATCGATAATTATACTGAACGATATCACATAGAATAGATAATTATACTGAACGATATCACATAGAATATAGCATTCTGGTCCATATCACTTAGATCATTATATTGAACGATATTACTGAGAATAGATATAAAGACCATTGCAGAGAATTAGCCAGGTGAAGCTACTGACTCAACCCACACATAAGACATGAAAGTGACGGGGTTTCCATCCATCTTGGTCATTATCAAGTCCTGGACCCTTAGCAAGTCCTGGACCCTTAGCAAGTCCTGGACCCTTAGCAAGTCCTGGACCCTTAACAAGTCCTGGACCCTTAACAAGTCCTGGACCCTTAACAAGTCCTGGACCCTTAACAAGTCCTGGACCCTTAACAAGTCCTGGACCCTTAACAAGTCCTGGACCCTTAACAAGTCCTGGACCCTTAACAAGTCCTGGACCCTTAACAAGTCCTGGACCCTTAACAAGTCCTGGACCCTTAACAAGTCCTGGACCCTTAACAAGTCGAAACAGAGTCCAGGACGGAGCGAAACGTCGTTACTTTTCTTCCATGTGTGAGGGGTGAGGCACTGAACAAAATCTCTTGCCATATTTAGAAACGAAATGATATAGAATTAACTATAAACATAAACCTTTGAATTTTTTCTTTCGTGAGACTTAAATACCCCATAAATCACTTGATACACGAGCACAGGTACCTTGAACATCTTGGGAGAGGGCGGGGAGAAGGTGGAGCGTTGATAGAGGTGGAGTGTACTGGTGGTGAAGACTGATGGTCTCAACTTATATAGTTGATGCTCCCGCTGCACGTCTCTCTCTCTCTCCTTCATGCTCCATGGTGCGATGAAAACAAATTCCCTTTCTGTGTATCACTGTGATTTCATATACAGGTGATGAGGTGCTCTGCTGGATGAAGGTCTAATTCGTTTTCTTGTGAGTGTGTACTCGCCTAGTTATACTCACTTAGTTGTGCTTGGGGGGGTTGAGCTCTGGCTCTTTGGTCTCCGTCTCTCAACTGTCAGTCAACTGATGTATAGGTTCCTGAGCCTACTGGGCTCTATCGTATCTATATTTGAAACTGTGTATGGAGTCAGCCTCCACCACATCACTGCCTAATGCATTCCATTTGTTAACTACTCTGACACTGAAAGTAGTTAGTTGTGTGCGTGTGTGTGTGTGTGTGTGTGTGTGTGTGTGTGTGTGTGTGTGTGTGTGTGTGTGTGTGTGTGTGTGTGTGTGTGCGCGTGTGTGTGTGTGTGTGTGTACTCACCTATATGTACTCACCTATATGTGCTTGCAGGATCGAGCATTGACTCTTGGATCCCGCCTTTCGAGCATCGGTTGTTTACAGCAATGACTCCTGTCCCATTTCCCTATCATACCTGGTTTTAAAATTATGAATAGTATTTGCTTCCACAACCTGTTCCTGAAGAGCATTCCATTTCCCCACTACTCTCACGCTAAAAGAAAACTTCCTTACATCTCTGTGACTCATCTGAGTTTCAAGCTTCCATCCATGTCCTCTCGTTCTGTTACTATTCCGTGTGAACATTTCGTCTATGTCCACTCTGTCAATTCCTCTGAGTATCTTATACGTTCCTATCATGTCCCCCCTCTCCCTTCTTCTTTCTAGTGTCGTAAGGCACAGTTCCCTCAGGCGCTCTTCATACCCCATCCCTCGTAGCTCTGGGACGAGTCTCGTTGCAAACCTCTGAACCTTTTCCAGTTTCATTATATGCTTCTTCAGATGGGGACTCCATGATGAGGCGGCATACTCTAAGACTGGCCTTACGTAGGCAGTGTAAAGCGCCCTAAATGCCTCCTTACTTGTGTGTGTGTGTGTGTGTGTGTGTGCGCGCGTGTGTGTGTGTGTGTGTGTGTGTGTGTGTGTGTGTGTGTGTGTGTGTGTGTGTGTGTGTGTGTGCGCGTGTGTGTGTGTGTGTGTGTGTGTGTGTGTGTGTGTGTGTGTGTGTGTGTGTGTGTGTGTGTGTGTGTGTGTGCGCGTGTCTGCAAACACTCGTTTAATTGTGTGTGCAACATCGAAAGTCAGCTTTTGGAACCCATCATTTCGGGCTCGTTATTAGAATTATTATAAAAGTTAATCGTTATTATGATGATGGTGACAATTTTGGGGGAGTCTGGGCCCAGTTTACTTGGTAACTAATCACACCGGTAAAAATTTGTTTTTTTCTGTAAAAATCCGATATATTTTTTTTTTACAGGTGCGAAAATATTTAAACATTGTCCAATCAGGATACTCACCACTTGCTAATTCTCTACGATTCAGATATACTCATAATATAAGTTCCGCGACGCCCAGAAATTTAAAACATTTCTGTGGTTGGCAACCTGGGGAATTGCCCAGGAGCTGGAGCCTGCCTTCCCTCATCTAATAACCCACCACATATGTCGTACATACTTTTATACCTATGAATGGAAGTAGGTTCGATTGCATTATTCCATTTCTAATTATTAGGCAGGGGAAGTGTTCCTTAATATAAACTGTGTGTCCATGTCCTCTCCATCTACCGAACGTTCTTCGTGGTAAGTATTCCGTCCTTGTCAGTGGTCATTAACCCTTAAACTGCTAAGCTATATAAAGTCCAACAGGCAAGGGCTCATGAAATACATTTGAAAACCCATGATCAACCGCAGTCAGGGAGTGGATCGGTGTAAAGGTTGAGTCTTTCTTCTTGAGACTGTGTCGTGTTACAGCCCGTCCTCCAAACAAAGACCCAAAAGTGATTCCATCCACCCGCCAAACCCTCAGATGTTTATGAAGGAAAAACAGTTTACACACGACTCGCAACTGATTTCGTTCGAACACTTCCGGAAGAAGTGCTTCACTGACGAATTTTGTTCGAACCACAACGCTGTAAATGCTTCACCCACGTACTACAAATACAAATAATCGTCAACAGAACTTAAACACCTAACCTAACCTATGCCTATGCATAGGTTAGGTTAATATATATGTACAATATGCTAATATATTATAATATTAATATATATTTGAGAAAATTCCCGTTTTGAATGAACATCATGTTAAAATTTATGAATGCGTCTGTGGGGTTGACCGCTGGATGTAATGGACTTGAGTCAAGGACGGGTTGCGTGTTAACCGTCTCTTGCCTAATAGTAAGACCAGGGTTTTGCAGTCCTTTATTTCAGTCCTCTCGGTTCAGGAGTCAATTCAGTTTGTGGCGTATTTTTTAACTTCCTCAAAATACTTTTTTCTTCCAGGTTTGGTTCTTATGGTTCCCATAGTCGGAAACAGGTGGTCTCTCTCCTTTAACTAACTAGGTTATCCTTGACCATTGATCTCCAGCAGGGGTTGGATGAGATAATGTGATGGTGTCCACGGGAGTAACACTGTCTATTGTATCGCACTCCAGCAAGACCCACTTGTGAGTGTTGGACTCACAACACACGAGACTACCACTTGTGAGTGTTGGACTCACAACACACGAGACTAGAGTCTCCTGCTAGCGTTTACAGGCAGCTTTAACTGACAATAATAATGCAGGACTTGTGACGTGTGGATGTATGTATTTGTCGCAGCGATGGCTGCTGCCACATTTGTTGGCTTGGTCTGTTATGTTGTGGGGGTCCACAGGTGAGAACGTGGTTGTGGGGGATCGTGGTTTTCACCTGTTTGCCATTAGGTGAACAGAGACATTAGGCGAAAGGAAACGTTTCTGCCTCTCCCTGGAAATCGACCGTGAAATCCTCGGTTTTAAGTAGAAGACATAGACCACTGGTTTATCATACCTGGAACGTACCTGAAGAGAGTTTTGGGAGTTCTATTCACCCAGGCAAGTGGCCTGGAACCACTTGCTGTGAATGCTTCCTTGGTCAAGTTCATGTGAGCCTCACGATGTGTCCTTCTAGTGACAGACTTGGTGTTGTTTCAACTTAAAATT